CTTGCATTATGATATGAAAGTACATATTGCCCTTTGGGAAGGGAACGGATAATGGACTAATCACCAACTCTATCCAATCTCAAATTTTGTCCATTTGACAAGTGTTCACCATCTCACAAGAGGTTCCTTATGATTTTAAATACGAATTCTATTCAAATATATAATCTAAATGTCGAAATTTCTATAAATGTCGAAATGCAGGAGTTAAAGAAAAACTAGACATAGGAGCTGGTAGATCTACCTAAGAGAAAAAGATCTGTGGGATACAAATAGGTGTTCACCATAAAATACAAAGCTGATGGTACAGTAAAGAGATACAAAATAAAACTAGTGGCTAGGAAATAAACCCAAACGTATAGAATAGACCATCAAGAGACTTTTGTACCTATTGCTAAGATGAACACAATCCAGGTTCTACTACTTTTAGTTCCGCTAATTTTCACTAGAAATCGCAACAATTTGAAGTGAAGAATGTCTCCTTGAAAAAAGACCTTCAAGAGAAAATTTACATATCCACCAGGATTCAGAAAAAATGCAAAAGTAAATAAAGTTTGTGGATTAAAAAAGGCTCTTTATGGACTTAAATAGTCACCAAGGACAGCTTGGAAGGTGTCCAAAAGTTGAAGTTGGCAATGGGATACAAGAAAAGTCAGGAACATAGCACTTTGTTCATTAAGCACTCTTATTCAAGGGGAGTTACAACCCATTTGTGTATGTTGATGACATTATTATAACAAGTAATAATGAAAAAAAAAAAACTTTGGTACTCATACAACGTTAACCAAAGAATTTGAAATTAAATAACTGGAGAGACCAAAATACTTATGTGGAACTAAAGTGACTCACTCAAAAGCAGAAATCTTCATCTCACCTTTACCAGCGACTAATAATCCTCCTCAATTACCTAACAACCTAGAAAATGATCTACCTCCATTACTTCAAAACCCAAACGATGAACTAGCGATCGTTATGTAACCCAAGATTTTCTTAGGTGCAGTCAAGAAGGAAAAATCTAATCCTGAATCGAAATAGGTTCAAGCATCAGAGTAAGTTTTGGAAATGACATAACCTCTAAAAATCTTCAGTATTCTAACATGGTATACCTATCGCAGTTTGAAAGGAACAAGAGAATGTATTAAACACCCCCTTTATCTAATCCCAATTTTGTGTCTTTGACATGTGTTCACCATTCCCATAGAGGTTTCTTATGAGTTTAAATACAGAGTATATTCCTAACATATTATTTGAGACACTATATGTGAAAAATGGAAAACTTCAATGAATACTAAAATGTAGACACCAAAAAATTATCAAACATGGGAGGTGGTGAACTTATCTAGATGAAAAAGACCTGTGGAGTACAAATGGGTGTTATTCATAAAGTACAATGTTGATCGTACAATAGAGAAACACAAAACAGGACTGGTGGCTAAAAGATTTATCCCACAGGCCGAGTTCTATTGTCGTCAACTTTAACTGGTAACTGCAACAGTTTGATGTGAAGAATTACTTCCTACAAGGAGACCTTAAGATCAAAATTTACACAAAAATTCCACCAAGATTCACAATAATGCAAGAGCAAATTAAGTTTGCCTATAAAAAATAGCTTGTTATAGACTCAAACAGTCACCAACAACATGGTTTCGAAGGGTTGCAAAGATGACATTGGTAATGGAAAACAAGCCAAGTCAGGAAGATCATACTTTATTCATCAAGCACCCAGATTCAGTAAAAGTTACAATTCTATTTGTGTATGTCGATAACATTAATATGACAAGTAATAACGAAAAAGAGAGATCGATGCTCAAAAAGTGTCTGGTCAAAGAACTCGAAATTAAAGAACTAGAGAGGCTAAAATGTTTCCTTGGAACTAAAATGGCCTATTCAAAAGCTAGAATTTCATTTCACAACAAAAGTACATCAACAGCATCCTAAAAGGTATAGACAAGTTGGCAAACCTTCTAGCACCCATTTGAACCCAACCATAAATTGGGATTAACAAAAGAAAATGCAGCCGTCAACAAGCAAATATACCAAAGGCATCACAATATCACTCTATTTTGACTTCTTACAAAACAATTTGACCAAACCAATTTCCCAGACTGGTTCAAAGCTTATTTAAACTTACTCAGCATTGAGTCAAATTGTTTTCCTACTAATTTTGACGCTTTCTTCATTTTTCAAGCCGATTCATTATATTCAAACACTATTATTTCTTTGGGAAAATCTTTAAATATGTGAAGTATTGAGAAAGAATGAGTCACCATTCCGTGATGGCAAACTCAAGGATTATTTCTTTTGTTGTCGCTAGTCGTCACCCAATTGTTAAAGAGGATGCAGGCCAACAAAAGCGATGTTCAACTTTACTGAACATGAAACACAAATTTGAGAATCTGTTGATTTCATCCTACCTAAGAGATTTCATAATGACAACCAATTATGTATTTCCATTATCTTTTGTATTGAAGAAAAATGAAAGAGAAAGAGTTCGCTAAACTTCCATTGGAAAGCTCAAAGATTGAGGTTTTACATTATTCACCGCTTCAAAACTTGTGGACAAGTTTTATCTAAGGAGAATAGTGCAAAATGGATTAGATGTAAGATTTCCTATATAGATTAGAACTCATAATTGTTTTGAAATATAGCACTAATGTATTATTTTGCTGTCTATTATTGTATTTTTAGTAACTAAGTGACTTTACTCTTTGCAAGTACTTAGTTTTCCATTTTGATTAGTATTTGTATTCCTCAAGTTAATCATATTCACAAAATGTTATAAAATGATCTCACTCTTCAAAAGAGGAGGTCTAGTTGTTCAATAAAGAGCTCTATGAGAATTTTCTCAATCTTTCCGGTTATGATGCAATAATATCTAAGAAA